TATGAAAGAGAATATTCTATATTATTATTCTGAGTGGATAAGTGGTTCATCAGTTTTAAACAGATTCCGCATTGTTAAAGAGAGCCTGTCACTAGAACAATATATGTGAATTGAATGTATTTGATGTATCTTTATCGGTAAAAGTCTCCCTTGTGTAGTAATCCAGAATCCCTGAGACTGCTGCTGGGCGCCGCCATCTTGGATATAATGTTGGCAGCCCCAGCAGACTAAGAGCTATCACTCAAGTGACATTCTATAGCAGGGGTAGGCAAACTTTGGCTGTCCATCTGTGGTGAAACTATAAATCTCATATGCATCTGCCTCTGGGAGTCATGGATGTGGCTGTCAGGGTCTTGCAATGTCTAATGGGATTTGTAGATCCACAGCAGCGGGAGGGTCGGAGTTTGCCTACCCGAGCTCCTATAGTATTCTCCTTCACTTTTTCCCTGGCAGCGACACGCAGGGAGGTGAGCGGTGGCGGAGCTGGGGTAGCACAGACAGTAATTAGACACTTCCAGAAGAGGAGAGTGCTGTGATGTGCACGTATGGGAGGGGGTTGTGCTATGGGAATTGAGTCTCCTGGAGTTGTCACCATTTCTAGCACGTTCATAGTCACACGGCACTGGTGTTCTCTCCATAAGTGCAAGTAAACATTTTAAATCATTGTTTGTTTTTTCTGTGCCTTTTAGCTGCATGTTTTCAGTCGGTGACAGGGTCTCTTGAAGTAAATCTATTTCCTTTTCTCCCGACAGAGTAATGGTGTCCACCAAACCACCTACCTCGCCCAGCGCTACTGTACCGAAGCGATCCGAGAGATCAGCAAGCTGCAGCCGTCCCCGGAGAGAGACGCACTCATCCACCTGACAGAAATTGTGCTGACCAGAGACAAGTGATCGGGGACAGGGACTCTTTACTGGCAGCTACCACCAAACAGTGCCTAACGCCAGCACACGTGTACAAACACAGCCGCTTCAGCTTCCTGGGCGCGCCACCCAAACAAAAGAAAGGACTTTTTAAGAGCAATCTCCAGATGTTTATTATGCCTTTCAGCCTGACAGTACTGTATTTTTTAATGACATTTTATCAGAGGAAGCCATATTGTGTGAACGCGAGCAGTTACGGGGAGCGTGAATGTCACCGCAAGATGTATTGTGCAAAAACATAAAATCAAATCCATTTTCAGTTCTCTGGAAGTTCTTTTCACATTTATTTATATAAACTTGTTCATTAGTGTAAGAGAAACCGTCATGAAAGGTGTTCTTCTCACGCCAGCGTCTAACAAATGCAACAAGCCTGGCATGACATGCTCAAAATGGGCAAGCGGGATTTTCAGGAGGATGGCGCCAATTGTGTTTTTGTTATAACAAGTTCCCTTTATAAAGACAATAGGCTGAAAGGACTCAAGTTGAGTCCAATGACAGTCACATAGCTGAACATTAAGATACTTATCCTGGTATGTTAGCTTTGTGAATTAAACCTTTCGTTTGTCATGTACTGGTATAGTGGTTGTAGTACTGCAGTGCCAACAGTAGGTGGTATATGCTATATAGTGGCCATAGTACCTTAGTGCCAACAGCAGGTGGCTAGTGGTCATAGAACCTTAGTGCCAACAGCAGGTGGTGTATGCTTTTGTAGTGGCCATAGTACCTTGGTACCAACTGCAGGTGGCATATGCTATATAGTGGCCGTAGTGCCAACTGCAGGTGGTGTATGCTATATAGTGGCCATAGTACCTTAGTGCCAACAGCAGGTGGCTAGTGGTCATAGAACCTTAGTGCCGACCTTAGTGCCAACAGCAGGTGGTGTATGCTTTTGTAGTGGCCATAGTACCTTGGTACCAACTGCAGGTGGCATATGCTATATAGTGGCCGTAGTGCCAACTGCAGGTGGTGTATGCTATATAGTGGCCATAGTACCTTAGTGCCAACAGCAGGTGGCTAGTGGTCATAGAACCTTAGTGCCGACCGTAGTGCCAACAGCAGGTGGTGTATGCTATGTAGTGGCCATAGTACCTTGGTACCAACTGCAGGTGGCGTATGCTATATAGTGGCCATAGTACCTTAGTGCCAACTGCAGGTGGCGTATGCTATATAGTGGCTATAGTGCCAACTGCAGGTGGTGTATGCTATTAATCTGACAATACTGCAGAAGCTCTGGCTGAGTGTCAGGATCTCTGCTTGATTATCAATATATACAGACTGCAAAGCAGTTACCACATAACCTGTTACGTTATATTGGCCCAACACTGATGGGTGGAAGAGAGGGAGATGGCGGACTACATCTGCTGACCAGGAAGCTGGACACTATTAGCATACAGGATCCCAATTTTTTGTGGCATGCGCTGACCCTCTAGAGCAGGGGTAGTAAACCTCAACACTGCAGCTGTGGTGAAACTACAAATGCTATCATGCCTGTAACTGTCAGTCTTGCAATGCCTCATGGGACTTGTAGTTCCACAACAACTGGAGTGCCGAAGGTTGCCCGCCCCTGCTTGAGACTCTGGGACCAGTGTGGTACATCTCAAATACTTCCAGGGTAAGTCACAGAAGGGTTTGGAGAAGGCCGGAGAAGGGAACAATCTAGGGGAACATCGCTGATATGGGAAGTGAGCTGAATTGGAGAATGATTCCAGCTCAGCGATGTTCCCCTAGATTGTTCCCTTCTCCGGCCTTCTCCTAACTCTTCACCCTTCTGTGTCAGTGAATGGAACAAGCGGCTTCTGACCAAAAATCATTCTGGCTTCCACTCCTTGGTTTCAGATGGAGTGGAATCTGGTCCAGTATAGGAAGTTCCATCAACACATGGGCTTGGAAGTTCCCAATCTCCAGATCTACGAGTTATAGGCCAAACTACACAAGGGATTTCTCTCAACGTCACCCAATGTAGAACTCTGGCTGGTAACTTCCTCATGGACCCGCTGCAAACCTGGATATGATAAATATATTGGTGCAGAGCGGCCGGAAACACGACTGAAAACTTCCAGTAACGTTTACATGCTATTATGTCATAGTAGGGTGTCGCTGTATGTACATGTAAGCTGGTGTACATACCCAGTGGTGGTTGTAGTGCCAATGAGTTAGAGCGCCTTGGCACCTCTCAGACAGCTCATATGCAGTCTCATTGGTTAGTCCCAGGAGCAGGAATGAGGCCAAGCTCTGACTGCCTAAGGAAAGTCAGCATTAGGACACCTCAGGTATTGGGGCTCCTTTAGTAACTGTGCCGGTTTTTCTGGGGGCCAACCAGTGGCGGACCTTAGGAACAAAGGGCCCCCGGTGCAGAGACTTGGCTGCAGGCTGGACACCGAACTTCTCAAACTTCAGCAACATCCCGACCATAGGGACGTCCATTCTGTCAAAGCAGATGTAGATCTGCACATGCGCACTGCCTTCTGTCTGTCAATGCAAATAAACATCTGCACCTGCCAGCCCCTCTCATCTCGCGCCGCCTGCTACTAGGGACGCGGTCAGGAGTCGGAGCGGGAACCTACCGTACCTGCCCTGTATTCCACCTAGGGTGGGGGACCCAGGACCAGACCTCACTGGGCCCACCCCACCCCACCAGGACCTGGTGCAGGCGACGGCTGCACCGGCAGTAGTTCTGCCCCTGGGGCCAACCCTACCTTGTGAGCAAGTGACTACAGGCACACTTTAATACCGTCACCAACACAGCATTGCATGTTTTTATGTAGGCACTGAGAATTGATTATTTCCTAATGCTGCACTGCCCACACAGGAACATTTGTGTCTGATAAAGATAAAAAATATAATCAGATATTGTGGTTGTTTTATGAATAACATACATACAGAGGTCACTTCCTGCTGATTATTTACTTTCTGATCTGAAAAAGATTGTGGTCTTTCACCTAGAAAACAGAGATTCGGCACCTTTAGAAAACAAGTTCCCGGGATGTGTAAAATTCGGCCTCCTTTTATCATTTCACTTCGCTCTTTGGGCCCTTCACACCAGATCTGTTATATTGCGGTCAGTTTTTCAATGGATGCTGACCCAAGGACACTGAAAAATTAATGGGACCAGTTCACACCGCTACAATGGTGAGCCGGTACACGCTGCCCTGCTTCCTTAATGGAACTTCCGGTATCGGAAAATATCAGTACTCGATACCGGAATCTGTGCATCCCTACTCGCATCTGTATACTGATAAAAGTTAGCTGGCCTCTACATAGCACCTATCAGGATTGGCCTTTCCTAAGCCTGACTTTGGAGTTCTGTGCTCAGACTCCGCTAAACTGGATGTGTGGTGCAAGCCCGGAATGTGACCTTCAAGTACAGATTGTGGCACCGTCCATCTGTATACTGATAAAAGTTAGCCGTTGAGTGCTCTCCCGGTCCAGAGCTGTGACAGGTCCTCAGCACTTCCCCTGTCTCTCAAGATGCACTCTTTTGAATAAGACCGGTCAGGCTGAAACACTGGAAGCTACCTCACTATTCGAACCTCTGGGTGCCCGTCAAAATTCCCGCTATGGCCATACAATTAGCCGGGAAACCATTTACATGTTCCTTCGTCACCAGGTGACGAAGCATGGAACCGGTTTTCTGGCCAATCAGAAAGCTGGGGTGCAGGTAATGACACGCCAGCCAGATATCCAACCAAACAGGAAGCCGGGCAGCGAGTCACGACACGGCGCCTGGCTTCCTGCTACCTCCTCACCAGGTGATGAGGAATCATGGAGCCGGCTTTCTGGCCAATCAGAAAGCCGGGGAGTGAGTTATTACCCACCATCCAGGTTCCTCATTGGCCAGTAAGCCAGCTCCATGAAGACGAGGGAGCCTGAAGCGGGTTTCCTGGCCAATCAGGAACCAATCCAACATCGGGATTCTCATAGGAGCCGAAAGTCAGTGAGTGAATTGCCAAGCATTTGGCTCGGTTATTAAATAAGAACGGCGTGGGGTCCCCCTCCCGATCCATACCAGACCCTGATTCTCTCTCTCTTCCC